TCGGTTTTTTCATAAATAATCGTACTTGGAATAAATCAGAGCACTCGTTCAATTATGGTACATGCATTTACCACAGAAATCTGCAGTTTCAGAGCAGCAGTCGGCAGATATTGATGTGCAGACTGTGTGATGAACATTTGTTCACGAGTAGAGAGAGCCCAAATGACCCACCAACCAATGTACCCGAGAAAAATGACTGCCACTCGATTCAATCAGGGTTGTATCATGTCATTGGTGTGTAATTTTTAGGAGAAGAAAAATACTCGAATATTCGATCTGAGAAAATCAGAGTACTTCGAAGTACCGTAGAATCCCGAGGATAAGCCCATGGGCTTATCTGTTTCACAAGGACATTTCGGTGGGCTTATACGAGAACATGGGCTTATACGCGGTCATGGGCTTATACGCCGACACCAACATTGTGCTATTGAAAAGTATCAAGGAAGTGAGAAGTACATTGCTGAAAACCACTGTGCAAACAAAAACAACCGATGATTGTGCTGAAATGTACGAAAAAAACTATAATGTGAATGACTACGTACATGGTATGGCCAAGAGTCCATGATTTATGGACTCTCGGTATGACCTAGGCCCATGGGCTTGTACGATGAAGCTTTGTGATGTTCGAACAAACCCTGGTCTTTTGCGCGGGCATGGGCGAATACGCGGATGGGCTTATACGCGGATGGGCTTTTACGCGGATGGGCTTTTACGCGGATGGGCTTATACGCGGATGGGCTTATACGCGGATGGGCTTATACGTGGATGGGCTTATACGCGGATGGGCTTATACGCAGATGGGCGAATACGCGGATCTGCGAATACGCGGATGGGCGAATACGCGGATGGGCTTATACGCGGATGGGCTTATACGCGGATGGGCGAATACGCGGATGGGCGAATACGCGGATGGGCTTATACGCGGATGGGCTTATACGCGGATGGGCTTATACGCGGATGGGCTTATACGCGGATGGGCTTATACGCGGATGGGCTTATACGCGGATGGGCTTATACGCGGATGGGCTTATACGCGGATGGGCTTATACGCGGATGGGCTTATACGCGGATGGGCTTATACGCGGATGGGCTTATACGCGGGCATGGGCTTATACGCGGGCATGGGCTTACCGGTATACGCGGATGGGCTTATACGCGGATGGGCTTACACGCGGATGGGCTTACACGCGGATGGGCTTACACGCGGATGGGCTTACACGCGGATGGGCTTACACGCGGATGGGCTTACACGCGGATGGGCTTACACGCGGATGGGCTTACACGCGGATGGGCTTACACGCGGATGGGCTTACACGCGGATGGGCTTACACGCGGATGGGCTTACACGCGGATGGGCTTACACGCGGATGGGCTTACACGCGGATGGGCTTACACGCGGATGGGCTTACACGCGGATGGGCTTACACGCGGATGGGCTTACACGCGGATGGGCTTATACGCGGATGGGCTTCTACGCGGATGGGCTTCTACGCGGATGGGCTTGTACGCGGATGGGCTTGTACGCGGATGGGCTTATACGCGGATGGGCTTATACGCGGATGGGCTTATACGCGGATGGGCTTATACGCGGATGGGCTTATACGCGGATGGGCTTATACGCGGGCATGGGCTTATACGCGGATGGGCTTATACGCGGATGGGCTTATACGCGGATGGGCTTATACGCGGGTTTCTACAGTACTAGTACTCGAACTCGGGATCTCAGTGCCAATTTTCACACCTAAATTTTAAAATTTAGGTGTAGTAAAATTTCTGTATCACGGACCTGTCAGGTTTCAGGTGTAATGTAGAATTTGGTGACCAGCCTACCCTTCATAAACAGTGTGGACTCCAGTGCCATTTTAGGTGTAATCAGGTTGCGTTTGGTTGGTCACATTCCACAACGGGAATCATTTTGCCCGTTTGTTTGGTCAAATAATCCCGCTAGGTTGGTCCCGTTCCAGAATGGGAATCACTGATCATTCCAACTCACATGCTGGAATGATCATTCCTATTCCGGAATCAAAAATGAAAATGGTTGGCACAAGCCAATCAATGTAGCAACAGGATCAATTGCCTCAAATCATGCACTCAGAAGTAAGTACCTTGCCTCTCTCAAGGAAACTAGAGTCGGGCAAAAGAGAAGAGAGCCGTGGTTCCACAATGACACCATGGAATTGTTATGTCAAGGGATTCCAAGTTGATTCTGGCGCGTTTGTTTGGTCAGGTGATTCTTCCGTTCCCATTCTAGAATGGTTTATCATTATTGTTATTGTTAATCGGATGTTGAGCCAATAATAAATGTAGAAAGGAAGAGGACATATGGATACGAGTTAAGAGTAACTCTCCATCACTATAACCAGATGCTATATACAGTCAGAAAGTGCAACAATTAGGCACAAAGCTGACAAAGTACTGAGACATTCGACGTCCTGACACCTAGCTTCAACACATCTCCGTACCGCTAACCGACAGCCTTCCAACTCGGAAGGTTCAAGGTTATGGAAAGACCAAAGAGGGAGCTACAGGTACCTTAACTTTGGCCTTTTCCTCCTCCAGGCTGGTGTTCAGAGACTGGACAGCGTACGATAACTGCATCAATGTTTCTGGGACTGAATCATATCGTGAGAGTGTGAGCCAGCCTGCACAAAGCACGTGAAGTTCATGTAGTGGTTGTTTTTAACACACACACACATGACATCATATTAAGTTCAGAATATGATTTCATAATAAGAACATGACATCATATTAAGTTCAGAATATGATTTCATAATGAGAACATGACATGGCAATAAGAAAGGAACAAACTCGATCGCCATAAAATCAACCTCCTGAACCTGATTCAGGACTCCAACACAAACTGGACATGGTCTCATGCAAGATGATTGCTTTGGCGAAATGTCATGCGTACATGAAACAAAACTACATGTACATGCAATTCCAAACGAATGTCCACTATTGAAAGTGACAAGAAAATCGATTCTGGCAGAATCCTTTGAGACTTCGAAGTTGCGTGGCAATGACGGCAGCACTTATTATAATTCTATCCTTAAAATGCCGTCTCTTCTTTCAAACAAGGACCCAAACAGTGATATTTAAATCATATGTTTACTTCACAGGCTGCGTGAGGTTCCGTGGATGCGTGGTTTAAGCTATGCATGCATCGATGTTACATACAGTGGTTTAGAGCGGCATAAGCACTAGGACTTGTGCCGTCATAACACAAGCACGCACGTCAGATCGAAGTCTGTTTGGACTTATTAAACCCGTGAAACTCAGAATAACAGAAAATCAATGGTGTTCCTAGCATTCGTCCCTAGTGGCGCAACCGTGAAACGCTAAGGAAAGGTGAGGGTTCTACGATGTGGAATTGGGCTCACAGAATAGCCAAACGATACTTACGTGTCTGGCACAGATCTCCCTCGTAGCCAACTGAGCAGTTACAACTGAATGAGTTGAATGCGTCCACACATCGTCCACCATTCTGGCAGGGCTCGCTGCCGCACTCATAAATTTCTGTGTGTAGAAATCATACACGTGAAGAAGTACAGCACAGAAGAACACAGGGTCTACTCCAAGAAATGAAGACTATCTATCAAGACTATGGTGAAGACTTTCTGACCGAATATAGACTATGGCAGGGTTAGGCGCACTATAGGACTAATCGTGGCATGAATGTCACAGCGTGATATTCGGCTCGCTTAGAATCCAGTCTACGGCAGCCTCGGAAACAATCCAAAACTTTAAAAATACTTCCCTTTTTTCGCGTCTCTAGCGGCTAGCACTATAATTATCCGACGTATCTTCAATTTTGAGTTTTGTTTATCATTCTCTGACCGATACCCGTTTGTTATAGATGCAAAGTAAATAGAAATACCAATACCAATACCGACACAAGTGAATGGTGTGGGCCGCGTCTGAACACGGCTGACCTGTATGCCAAAGTACTTTTACTTTATCAGTATCAGGGGAGAAGTGCACCGGGGACTGTTTTCACTCACCATTCTCGCAATAGTGTCCCGTTCTTCCTGGCTGGCATTGACACATGTATGAACGACTGTCGGTGTTGAACGCACACTCTCCCTCAGTGTTGCACGGGTCGAACGCACCAGCACATAACGGATTCGTACCGCCTGTTGTACAGAACAAAGTATCATAAACAGGGAGAAAAACAAGTAATGAGACAAAAACACTTTGATGGCTCGCTAAAGTGGCTTTGCACGCAGGGTAGACTCTACAAGGGTATGAAGTGTGGTACATGATTGCTGAAACATACAGAATACATGTGTGTTTCAACAACAATATGATATGAAGTAGATTTGGACCTAACAGGTTGCTGTCTACAGCATTGGTTATTAGTACACTGTATTAGGCTCCTCGACATTCGTCTTGTTGAGCACTCTCGGCAGTGCTCATGCGTTATGCATCGCTCGCTACCTTTCGCAGTTTCAAGGAGTACTATTTTGGCGCTAGAACAACGAGCTATCTTTTAAAATGTCTGTGGTGCCCGCTTTGCACCATGGCCGGTAGCTCGGCTTACTTTCAACAGCTCGTAGCTGTACCGATCAGGCCTAGATGGCCTTGATGGCCGATACAGCTTGCTGTCTAGAGCATTGGGTATGAAGCAGATTGAATGGTTTGTCATACAGTCAGTCTTGCTAACGTCAATTGGCCAATGTTTCCTAGAGTGGACATTATGTCTCACGGTCCTGAAGCACAAGTTGTCCTAGATTATTATCATAATGGATATTCAAGTGTCGAAAGACAACAACTACTGAGTATACGTGTACTTGACATGTACATACCAAGGCAGGACTTGAGCATAGTGGCATGAGCGTCGGTCATGCCCATCAGGAACGCCAGCACATCCGTGTCCAGCTCAACCAGCTTGGCTTCGCTCATGCCAATGCTCTTGAAGATGCCCTCGTACTTCTCCGCCATCTCCTGCTCCACACCGGACTGGGTAATCCAACGAACCATGCAACTTGGCCTTGCTGCGACTGCATGATAAAAAAAAAACAAGCGTAAAGTACCTATGAACTCAGATGGTAAGCCAAGGAAAAAGATTGTAGCATGGAAATTATGAGCAGAAATTATGCTATCGAGTCCACCAACTAAACCAGATTTTGAACAGTCAGATGTGCACAATCTAGTATAAAAGTGACAAGGAGTACTGAGACATTCCACGGCATGAAAGTCAGCTTGAGCACTGCTCCATAGCGCTAACCAACGGCGCTGCAACTTGGAAGGCTAATGGATATTAGTGCTAATTCCAAAGAGGGGAAGGCGAGCGCCATCGAGCCGAGCACAAGCAAGGAGCTGACTTGCATGCCGTGGAATGACTTAGTACTCCCTGTCAGTTTTGTGCTAGGATGTGCAGGTCTGACTTTTCAAAATCTGGTTTTGTTGATGGACTCGATTGCATAACCTGTGCCCAAACATATCTAAATTTACTCAAAGTCTTGAATCCATCCATCCTCAGTAGGCATATGCGGATAATGCCGGCAGAACAATTGGCAGAATTCGGTACTTTTTCTGGTAAGTTTCATGCATGCTTGGTATGTGGATAAAGAAATGGAGCAGAATTCGAGGAATTGCCCGCCATATAAGGTTTGTTTGGTTCTGCCAATTTCACTGCTTTTCGAGCAGAATCTGCCACCTTTTTGAGCATTATCCGCCAATGCCTAAATCAGGCAACGTAACGAACTGAAGGAGGCCTTTAACTTCACTACAAGATACACTCAGCTATTCAGCCAGGCGCCCACAAAACAGAAACTGCTAAGCGTGAAGTGCGAAGTGCGAAAGTGAGAGGTAGCAGGCGGACGTGATGCAGAAAAAATATTTTGCATTTTTCAGCCTCGGATACTGTGAGCCAATAAGAGACGTACGTTAATATAGAAGAAAACACATGGGAACGTTACAGTAGCCTGTCAGTGTTGTGCCCTGTTATCGCACTTTCTGACTGCATATTATCTTATCACAGTCGTGGACAGTTGCTTCTTAACTTGCTCCCGTGTGTCTTCTGCTATTTTAAACGTGCTTTCATTATCAGAAAAGCTCTTGTCTTCCTGTACCGCAGTGGATTCTAATGGGGTATACAACGTACATGTACATGCAAATATTTCCGAGATGGAGTACATGTACATGTAGATCTACATCGAAATACATGTTTTTTGGATGTTCCTTTTAAAAATAAAATAGAATGAAACATACATAATTTGATGGTCGTGACTGCGTGAAACCTTTAGTTGCCACACAGCTTCCCCTCCCTCGTGTACATGAAATACCTCAGATTCAGAAACCATTTTTTCTCCAGTGAATCTACATCGTCCATATACACAGAGGCTGTGCGCCTTAAAAACCTGCAATAGTGCTCAAATACCCGGAATGGGCAAAGCGTAGTACGCAAGAGGTACACAAAAGGAAGTAAAAATAGGGCTGTTTTTGTTGTAACTCAGCACATATACGTGTACATGTAAATTGGATAGGGCATACGATTTTTATTCCAGTACAAGTACCAAGGCCAAGTTCATGTACCAGCACATATGTAAGGTTTTTCATTCTGCACCTCATCCACGCCACACAGAGAAAACAACTTCACTTACCAAGCGGCACTTGATTATCTGGCATGGCTGAAACGGGAACTGGATCACCAAACGCAGGAGCAGCCGTTGCCAGTAGCAACACGATGGCGGCCATCATGAAACATGAAGGCGGCATTCTGTGAGGGAGATTGATCGGCAATCCCTGTGTATGTGTGGCAGCTCACGTTCACGTAGGCCTTGACTCTTGAACGGGCCCGGAGTTCGAACTACAACTTCTGCCTGACGAGAAAAAACGGACTCGTTGGAAGAGAACGGCAAATAATTGCTAGTCTTGCTTCTAGGAAAAAAATCTGAGAAATGGAGGCCACAGGAGGTACTTTTATAGTGAAAGATCTTCACACATGTTATACTCCTACCATTTCTTCACATTAGTTCTCGAACTGTCCTAAGTGACACGTTATGTGGAACACATACTTATACTTGTATGTATAAGACAATAATATGTACATGTAGGTGTCAGTGAATAATCGACCCAGTGCAGTCCTGACGAAATCCGACCTCATGAATATAATAGTGCAGGAGGCTCCGCGCCCGCGGCCCTAGCACCACACATACCACTCTGCACACTTCAGCGCGACAGTCTAAAACATGTACTTGTACAATGTCATGTACTCAAATCTGTGGACAGCAACTGTTTCACTGTTTGTACATGTACATGTACATAATAATGACATTATTATGTTGTCATGTACTTTATTCCTGAAGTCGGATTTCTCTGGCCAGAATTGTAGTCCCGGAGAATCGCAGCAGAATTGTTTGTGACAAAATCCAACTGTTCGATTTAAGAGCTGACAGTGGCATTGAGTTGGTTGCAAGGTTCCTCATTGGCGCCGTCCATTGGGTTCATACCAGGCGAATAGTAGTAGTTCAGTGTCGATTCGAGTGGAATGATAACTGTTTCGAACTCGCTGCCAACCTGGGATCACTGGGGTTTAGCAAACCTCAAATAACCAATAGTGTTATTGTTGCCGATAACGATCCAGACAGCATCAATGCGGTGGTGACACACACACTGTCATACACACACACACACACTCAGTGACTGTCACACACATACACACGCGCGCGCACGCACACACACACACACACACACACACACACACACACACAAGCACACTCAGGCTCAGACTCAGACATGCCCATTGCTGGGGTGATGGTAGCGAACGAGCTACATTGTACATGTATGTATGTACATTGTAAGAACTTGTGCTGGAGCGTCTCTGGTGTTTTGTCTTTCGCGTGGGTATGCTCCGGGCCGTGCCGCTGAGGATTTACTTCCAATGAATGTTGTGCCCGTTTCCAGCTGGTGTTTATTTGATGGGTGTGGGTGGATGCTAATTTTATTCGTGCACTTCATTTGTCTGTCAGATTGCCAAAGATGTCAGTGCTTTTAGCCGTGTTCATGACAGTCATGTGAGCGCCTTGTCATGGCCTTCACGTCAGCCTTCGATCGCTCTATTCACCTACACTCTAACAGTGTTGGTATATTCATACAGCGGATGCTTTCGTAGCCGCATCATCCGAAGACGATACGTCAATCAGATCTCTATTCAAAAATGCAAAGACTCAATCTCCAGACAGTTAACTGTTTCGACCTTGTTGGGTCTAGTCGGGAGAGCGCAGAGTGACTGGCGGAACTGAGCGCAATGAAGTTTAATGAACAACAAAGCATTTTCAATATGCAAAGATGTGATCGAAAAGGCGACGTGGAGACAATGATCTTAGTAATGCAATGAATAAAACTATTTCGGAATCTCTCGCCACGAGCTCCGTACTACCTTCTGCGCTCTTTCCCATACTGCATCGTGCCAGTGTGGAATAGATTGCCACAGGCAGTTCTGGACAAGCAGCCATCCCGGAGGCAACTGCAAGATTGCTGCATGCCGTCACCTGCAACAGAGTGACTGGTGCTCTGCTCATGACTGGTGCTAGCCATGCACATGTATCACACTAGCCTGCCATCAGTGGATCCAAATCATTATGTTGACCCTCTTCTACAAGTAGCAGTGGTGAGGCTTCCTGCAGCTTCATTCATAGGAAAAGAAGTTTTCAGAGCAGACTCGCTCTCTTCCCATTCACTCTGCAAACTCGAACTCATTTCTCAATCAATTTTTTACAACGTTTCGGCAAATTTGCCCTCATCAGGTATGCAATGGTGTGCAAGTTTGCAAAGGAGCAGTTATATACATGCAATGTGTGATGCTATGAAGTATGATATGCTACATCGCACCCACCGTGACGTGCCAGAATCATAAAGATAATGATACCTCAAAGAAGTATGATACCAACAACAATTATTCAAAGAAGACAATGCGGTGATAAATTCACGAAAAGCCCGAAGTGCTTTCACACAGACACCCACGCACATCCACAAACCCATGCACACACACACACACACACACACACACACACACACACACACACACACACACACACACACACACACATACACACACAAACACACTCCAACGAAATGATAATGCACAGTGCACTGGCGCCTCTTCTACAAGTAGCATTATAGTCATAGCAGCAATATGCCCCTGAACTCTTTCTCTTTCTATACTTATAATATTATACTGATCGAGAAGGATGGGTTCTGGCCAGCACCAATACACGTTCGCCCGTGGGACTTTCGTGAAACAAACCAGAACACCTAAACCAATATGCGTACCTGTGCTGCTACCCGAAGAGCCAGAAGTCATCATTCCAGTAAGCCAATTCACCATAATTATCTCACATTAATAATTATTATTATTTCACCGTCCAATGGCAGAAGCCAATGCAAAGGAGGGGGGCGTTAGCCAGCCATGGCAAGAGAAGAAAAAATGAAGGAAAGAAGATGATAATCGGAAGAAAATAATGCATCAGCGGGGTGAAATGTATCACTATAATTATTATGTAGTCTTAGAAACAAGGTCCATCACATTCACCATCTCCTGCACCACCATAAGCTCCACGTGCTATCAGTGAATGAAACCCACCTAAACAGCAGCATACCCGATTCTAGTGTTCATATCCCAGGCTACGATCTATATCGCAAGGATAGAGATCTACATGGTGGAGGGGTATGCATTTATGTCCATTCTGATATTCACTCTATCAGAATTCCCATCACTGAGCTAGGAGTGGAGTGTGTCTCTGTTCGTCTTCGCCTGTGTACCAAACCTAAGGCTATTGAGCTGGCTGTGTGCAGTATAATTATATCGTCCACCGAGTGCAACTGTCGACTTCTGGAACCTGTGCAGTCAGCATCTTGACGTCATCAGCCGTAAATTTAACAGGGTCATTGTACTAGGGGACTTTAACACTGATGTGCTACAGCAAACATCCAATAACCACCATTACAAGCACCTGTCCAATCTGTGTGAGGAGTTTCACCTCCGCAATGTCGTGAC